CTTAGAATCAGACGAAAATCCCACCTTGCTAAACTTGTCCAGCCCACCTTCAGTCTCATCAATCTTCTTGATCCATTCTGTTGTGTTCTTGTATCTAGCTCTCAGCGCGTCTTTGAACGGCTCGAGCCACGGATCCAAATCAACGACTCCTGTTTGAATATTAGGTTGGAACCAAGCTCTTTGAACAGAATCACAATGAAGGGACAGTAGAAAGTATATTCCAGGGAACTGACCGGTGCCATCTGGCGTCTTTGCAGCCATAGTTTGACGTGGGGAAGTATATTTAAGTATCTTGACCTTCTTCTACCCCGAGGAACCGAATATTAATACAGGCAGTGGGAAAAACGAGTGCAAAGTACTCAATCGAGGGGTGTATTGGTTCAAGTGTTGACAAACAAAGAGGGATAATACAACTCCCAGGGGGTGCAGTACCGAGGGGGGGATTGGACGAGATGCTCAACAAAAGACAAGAGAGGAGAAAGTAAGTGGCAAGGACAACTGCTACCACTGAGTGAGACAAACTCCGGGATCACCACTAGCTGCTTATTTTCCTTATCTCCTCTACTTAAAAAGGAGGAGTTCATCTGCTTGGGGGGCGGCACAGTGGTTACACCTTTCTTCTTCCTTGCCCTTGGGCCAGAACGTCATCGCTAGCAATATTTAAATCCTGTTTTCATCTAAATATCGCCCAGCACATGCAGATATGTGCGGATATAAAAACCCCCAGCCACTCGACTTTGCAGGTTTTGATTTAAAAAAGGGCTAATCAGTACTTGAATTTGGTGATTGGATGTTTTGATAATGAGCTCACTGTATGAGCGATGAGCGATTTTCAGTGAATATAGGCAAGTTCAGCCAGTTACGGACCAAGGAGATCGAACCCACGGGTAACAGCATTATAAAGAAGAAATAATGCGAGAGCTGGTACTGGGTAAACGACCTCATTGTTATCAAAGCTCTGGCTAGCGAGTAAACGCTTAGAAGTACGCCGTTACATTGCTATTTATCCAAATGATGTAAGAATCATACGATATCTCACCCCACGCCATACCTATTTAGCTACCTCCTAGAATAAGTACACATACTTCGGTATACAAGATTAACCTAGCAGAGGAATAGCATGGATTTATTCACATCTGTGCTTGAACTAACATCTCGTGGCATTCGTAGCAAAATTATACAGTATTTTGAACATATTTCAAAAGAGTTGACAGCAGATTGACAGAGATGAACGAACTAAGACTTGCTTTATATATAGAACATGGAAGTACAGACGAAGACATACAAAGGGAATCGAGGAGACGACGGCAGATGGAGGGGGATATATCGTTCGGAGGGAAAGTCGGGCTTCAGGACCCTCCATCCTTGACCGTGTCCAGTATCGATATATACACACATGTAAAGGTTGGAGAAGCTGAGCAATGCAATCTTCCTTTCAGACAGAACGGAGAAAAAGAAAATGAAAGAGAAAGAAAAGAATAGGCTATACAGTCTCCAATTCCATTAATACAGTTTTAATTGTTTTTTTCTGATATTGCACAAGTTGGGTAGATCTGGAATGTGCGTCTGGGTATCCCCAACGCACATCAACAAAAACGAGATTCTGTAGAAGAGAAGTCTCTCTCTTTTCTTTGTGGATCTTCGTATTAGGTTATCGAATCTATTTGCTAGCAGGTTGGCTTTGTACAAAGCCCTTGCCAGAATATCCTTCGCTGCTGATACCAGTGATGGGGTCGAGCTTCTCTTTCTGTTGGGGCGGAAGTCATATGTTAGCAATCGTCCAGAAGCCATTATTAGGGTAAAATAGGTATAAGAAAGAAAGAAAAGGATAGGAGATATAAATCGTACCAGAGCATATTCATTTGTGGCTTCTTGCCATTCCTTAGTCATAGTCTTTGGTGGAGGCTGGGCGAGGAGACGGGTTGCATAGAAGACACCGGCAGAGATAACAACGTATTTCATTATCTGAACGAAAATCTTCATACCCTCACCCTTGGGGGTCTCAGCACGGGGGCCATGGGGACCGAAAGCGATCCAGTAAGCTATTGTAGCAAAGACCGAGTTAGTAACGGGTTTGATTCAACCGGAATCAACTAGCACCATTTCCTCGGCGCGACGCAATGGCACAATGGAACCGGGCGTCTGATAAAATCGGCCATATCGGTTTCAGGTATCCATAACCGCAGACAACGCGAGAAACGGTTCAATGGCGTCTCAATGGTTATAAAAACAGCACCTACCAGCTCGCTTCTCTTGTAGAGTCATGCTCTTCCAGTCAACCTTCATTCTGTCTCTCAATTTCATCCACAATTCTGCCTGGTCTTGAGGAGGCATGGCTTCCCAGCGCTTCTCGATTCCAGCGAGAACTGGGTTGGCGATGGCGTGTTCAGAGGAGGCAGAGCGGGTTTGCTGTTTGGAGAGAGATGCAGACTGCACACGGGCGCTGAGGCAACCGATTGATGAAACCTGATTGCTTCGTAGGGCGGTTTTTGAGCATGTTGTCGAGACGGAGCGGATGGTGCCCGCGACGGCCCGTGGGGTGGCTCGGAAGGACATGGTGACCTAATTGGAGAGATGTGGATTAAGGAAGAGAGGGAGAGGCGTGGATGGAGATCGATTCCTGGGCCGGCGGAGAGAGTTGTAGACCTGAAATCACCGCTTGGAAGGGACGAAGTTGGGATGTTGTGAGGTTTGAATGATTATTGTACGAAAGTTTCCGTGGTGCTGACTCAGCGTGTAAATTGCGCTGTTGTGATTGGCTGTAGCTTCCACGCCGAAATGGGCGACATCAAAGTTGAAGATAGAGCTCTCTCACCGAAACAAAAAATACGATGGACATACAGAGTACATCTTAACGATGGCTCTTTTTTACTTGTCGTCGACGAAAGCAGTGATAACGCTCTAATTGTTTACCACACATGATATTCCCTTTCGACGGCCACGTTCCAATTCCTCCTCGATCACGAGTTTTTCCGCGGACACTCAGAAGGCAATAGACCAGGAAATTGAATGGTGACCACGCATCAAGGCGTTTATAAAGAGCCACTACAGAGTCTACAGGGCATGAGTAGATAAAAGAAGGATTACTGGCACGGGAGGAACAACGTCGAGAAGCTCTATAAACAAGCGGATATCTACAAACAAGACAAAGCTTCATAGTCATGATATGGAAAACGAATTTGGACCCATGTTGTGGTGTCGTATATTTGCATTATTGATATGGTCAGAAGTGAAAGAAGAGGGGGATAGAAACATAATAGCCACCGGCACGCTATATCATCACACAAGATATCAAAACACTGGCAAAATGCTATCGGTGTGACGGTGTCAGAGGTCCCTTGCGTTCCCACATATTTTCTACTATCTACTTGGAAGCCTTCTTGCCACCAGCCTCGGACAAGACGTGAGCCCATTCGATTTCGGAAGGGTCGTCGGCCTGGATACTGACGTGTGGGTGGAGGGCGTCCTTGAGGGTTTGTCTGGTGGTGGCGTAGATCATGGACCACTAAGTAGATGGTCTGTTAGAATGGGATTCTGTTCGGTCTCATATATCGGATGTAGGACTCTTACCAGGACTGGAGTCTCGGCAGGCACCCAGGAAATGAAAACAATCTTCTGTCTGTTTTGATATGTCAGTTAATACCACTGACAGCGTGACAGATAGAAATATAGATCAAACATACCGCCATCCTTCGCCAGCCTCGAGCTCGAACTCGACATCGTATGCAGCATATCGTGGGGCAGGCTTGCCCTTGGAGTCCTTGGAAGAGGCTAGTTTCTCACGGAAAGCTTCATAATCGTCGTTGGTGGAGCTGTCATCGACCACAACCTCCTTCTTGTCGTCGGAGATCTTGAAGATGATGTACTTTGTCCTCCCGGCTCCCTTTCCAAGCCGTAGCTTCTCGTATGCGGTGATGCATTCGGGGTTTATCGAAACTCTGTAATCCCGCATGTTAGCTAGTGATCCCATACATTTTCGCCATAGCTCTCATAGCCGATAGACATCAGCGTCTTCCTCGACGGCGTTGGTTCTCAAGGCCTCTTCCAGTTTCTGACATGTATATAAATGGTCGTGAAGAAGTAGGGACGAAAGGGGGGGGAAAGCATACCCAGATGCCATCTGTATAAAGCAAGGCACAACATTAGTCTCTAAAAGGGGTGACACCTCTTCGGGAAGAATTTTCTAAAACATACCGACATGATTGCGCACTAAAATTCAACGACTGGGACTTCTTGAATGTGCGTAAATCTGCAAATCAAGGAAGAAATGTATGTTAGTGGGATCGAGAAGCACAATTCAACTTCCGGCGGGAAAGGGGGTGGGAGGAAGAGGCGGCAAGGAGACAAGCCGGTAGCAATGTTATTATTAGTGGCGAGAGATCAAAATAATGCCAACTCACAAGTTAGAGGGAAGAGGCCGTCGACGAAGAGGGCGATGGAAAGAATATTAAGTGGTCGCTGTGACAGGGGGGGAACGGAGATCTGGTTGTTGGCGAAGGGTTGGTGTTTTGTGATGGAGGCAAGAGAGTAAATGGCGGGGCTGAGATGTTTCTTATTTTGTTGGTGGGGGGAGCCATGTACCGCCATATACGCCATACAAAATACACAAATAGTAGCTAGGCAACGATGGAACGGCTTTCCTCTACCATGTACAGCCACTCGGAAATACGTAAGAGGCAGATAGAGCTCTCTTGGAATCTGAATTGCTGCTACTTGTCAGAGTTATCCTACTACGGGAATATGTTGGAGCCTGTTGCTGCACAAACTTGGTCGCTGTGTAAGTACGTAAAGAAGTTCATCTCAAGTATTTTATATTAGACCCTATCAATCCTTGTCGATTCTATACGAACAGGCAGTATAGTTAAGCAGTGGAATTTTTTACCTGCCACGACTAGAAAGGCTCTCCTTTTTGTACTATGCTTCGGTCCATCACAACATCTCATTAAAAAGACCACATCGATCTCAAGATGCTACCTATTACATATATTATGTAATATTCAGGCCGCGTGGCCTAATGGTTAAGGCGTTGGTTTTCGGTTTTCCATTTTCGGTCCCGGTTTCCGCCAAAGTATGGGCGTTCAAATCGCTCCGTGGTCGAATTTTTTTATCTTGGGATAAGTCTTCTTCTCAGGAAGTACGTAGATTAATTAAGAGTCTTGCTCTCTCTTTTTTGCTCCTCATGGCTTATTATGTTGCTACCTTTTTCTCCTATCTCCTAGGGTGTCGCTGGTATCATGATTCAAGCATTCAATCATTACTCTTTGCGCGATAGCTATTCATAGGATTAAAAGGTATTGACAGTATCTTCGAATTCGTATTATAATAAAAGTACATGACCATGAAAGGCGCCGGCTAGAAGCCCCAATGTTCACGGCTCATAACGCCTGCCACCGCCCTTGGTCCTCTTCAACCGCTGCCTTTCTCTATTCCAGAGAGGTGATAACGAACGCATAAGGTGAAATGACACGAGGGCGAGAGTGGAGAGATGTTTTTCATCGTCAAGTTGGTGTTTATGGAGGGTAGTTATGGTACAGATCTCTGGAGTTGGGGGAGTAGAACAACAGATATAGGAACTGAGGGAGATGAGGGAGATGGAGATAAGAGTAGGAAAAGAGATAAATATAGGTTACAAGATAATGTAGCACGCCAAATAGAGCATTTTAAGACATAGAGGAGAAAACGGGAAATGATGAGGGGCAGGGACGCATTAAGACATGTTATTCTTTTTAGTACATACCACCCATACCACCCATGCCACCCATTCCGGGCATGCCACCGCCAGGAGCAGGGGCAGACTTGGGCTCAGGAGCCTCGACGATGGCAACCTCGGTGGTTCCGAGGAGAGAGGCAACACCGCTGGCGTCAACAAGGGCGGTTCGGACAACCTTAAGTGGGTCGACGATACCGGAAGCAATCATGTCGACGTATTCTCCCTTGGAGCTGTCGAAGCCGCGGTTGAAGTCGCTGGCAAATTCGTCAGTGAGCTTGCCGACGACAACGCTTCCCTCGAGGCCGGCGTTCTCGACGATGGTGCGAGCTGGGCGGGTGATGGCACTCTTCACGATGCTGACACCGAGCTGCTGGTCAAAGTTGGTTGGCTTAACATCGGCGAGACCGTTGGCAGCGGCCTTGAGAAGGGCGGTACCACCACCGGGAAGGATACCTTCCTCGACGGCAGCACGGGTGGCGTTGAGGGCATCAACGACACGGTCCTTCTTCTCACCGACCTCGACCTCAGAGGCACCGCCGACCTTGATGACGGCAACACCACCAGAGAGCTTGGCCAAGCGCTCCTGGAGCTTCTCCTTCTCGTAGTCGGAGGTGGCAGGGTCAGCAATGACACCGCGGATCTGCTCACAGCGTTGTGCGATGGCATCCTTGCTGCCTTCACCGTTGAGGATGATGGTGTCCTCCTTGGTGATGGTGATGGACCCGGTGGAGCCGAGCATCTCAGGGGTAGCCTTGTCGAGCTTCATGTCGAGCTCATCAGTGAAAACGGTAGCGTTGGTGAGAATACCGAGATCGCCGAGGATGCTCTTGCGGTTGTCACCGAATCCAGGAGCCTTTACAGCAGCAACCTGGAGTTGGCCACGGAGCTTGTTGAGGATACAGACAGCGAGAGCCTCGCCATCGATATCTTCAGCAATGATGACCAATGGTCGGCGGAGGGTGGTGGAAGCCTCGAGAGCTGGGAGGATGTCCTGAACAGCAGAGATCTTCTTTTCGGAGAGGAGGATAAGGGGCTTCTCGAATTCGACCTTCTGGGTTTTGGCATCGGTGATGAAGTATGGGGAAGTGTAACCACGGTCGAATCGCATACCCTCGGTAACCTCGAGCTCATCCTCAATGGTCTTTCCATCCTTAACAGTGATGACACCTTCCTTGCCAACCTTCTCCATGGCGTTGGAGATAAGCTTGCCAACGAGGAGATCTCCATTGGCAGAGATGGTGGCAACTTGGGCAATCTCTTCAGTGGTGGTAATATCCCTCTTGTTGGCTTGTAGGTATTCAACAACAGACTGAACTGCGGCCTGGATACCTCTGCGGAGATCCATTGGGTTGCAGCCAGCAGCAACGTTCTTAACGGTTTCCGAGAAGATAGCACGAGCGAGGACGGTGGCAGTGGTAGTTCCGTCACCAGCAACCTCGTTGGTCTTGGAGGCTACATCCTGGAGAAGACGGGCTCCCAAGTTTTCGAATTTATCTTCCAAAGCAACAGCCTTGGCGACAGTGACACCATCTAAGGTTCATTCGAGTTAGTCTCATCCTCCAGACTGCGGAATGATAGGATTGTAAAGAAAAAAGACTATACCCTTTGTGATCTTTGGGGAGCCGTAGGGGGATTCTATTAGAACATTTCGTCCCTTAGGACCCAATGTAGCGGTAACGGCCTTTGCAAGGGTGTCGATACCCTTTAGGAGCGAGGCGCGGCCCTCAACACCGAATTTGATCTCCTATTTTGAGAGATAGCTCGTTAGCCCGGGTCCCGGTAAACAACGACACCAATTGTTTCGTCTCTTGGGGAAAGATTGTGCAAATCCTACCTTGTGTGCATAACGCTGTTGCTGGAGGCTGATGCCAGTAGCAAGAGCTGGTCGGAATTGGGAGAGCTGGGTTCTGGAAGCAGCGGATGAGAGGACTGAAGCCCTGGAGGTAGCAGAAAGAGCTCGTTGCATCTTGTCTGAAGGAATAATATTATTAAAGGGAGTATAAAAGAGATGCGAAAGTAGCCCACAAAGAACCAAAAACTCCTAATTAAAGAAGGGTATAGAAGACAACGTGGATAGAAGCCGTGTCTGGAAGAGAGTGAAGAAGATGAAGATGAAGAGAAGTGCAAGGGGAGTTTTTGAGAAGGAAAAAAAAATTGATGTTTCGAGCAAGTTCTCCAGAAGTCTTGGCGTTTTCTTTCCTAGAGTCACGTGAGAAGCCATTGAGCTCCTTTCCGCTTTGGGTAATCTAACGACAATCCATAGATATCGAGGAATATAGACGAAGTAGAAGAATATAAATTCCATGGCGAATGGACGATACCATCTTTTTCCTTTGTACGCAGGGGCGTGATAGCTATATGAAAGGAATCATCTTATATTAATCCTTTTATTCAACCTAACTTCACTTGGGATGCCGCTTTCAACAAATCACTTTAAGAAATCATCATTCGTCACCAGCAAGAGATGCAACTAGATGCAGTTTGCCATAGGCACGATACTAGAAACATTATCTTCGTCTAGCCAACGCCCAACTAGTATGTCCTGAGATATGAAACTGTGGTACCAGCAACAGCAACGCCGCTCGGCCCAACTATTGACTTCGAACTCGGCCCAATCTGAACGGGGATGGAGCAAGTGAAATAAACAAAACAAAACCAGTGAATAAAACAGAAATGAGAAGGGGAATAAAATCAAAGATTGGTTTGAAGAACCAGCACTTTGAACCAGGATGATAGCTTCCGTTGCACATGTGTGTGATATATCAGTTGTTGAGCCTGAAATGAAATATACGGCCGATTCTCACTGAAGCCGTTGTGATCTTCATCTGAGTGCCCGGGAGTAGCTATCTTCCACGATCAAACCGTTGTCAACTGCTGCATGAGGTCGTCGAAGGATGACTCCTCGTCGCGTTCAGGGGGAGAATCGTCAGAATCGAATGACCAGTTGAATCCATGGTTAGATGGCCCTGCCTGCATCGGTCCATTATTTTCCGTCAGACAAAAGCCAGATAAGGTGCTTGGGTCAACCGAGTCCATCGGGACAAATGGCAACTGAGAGCTGTGAGGATAGTGGTCCGGGAACGGATGCGGTGGCAGTTCTGGAACAAAAGCTGCGTGCTGATCCATTCCACCATGGAGGTAGTCAAAGTTGTTCAACTCCTGGAAATGTTGTGGCAGCTCAAAAGGATCACCAACCATGGAGTTACCCATCCAGGATGCTTGACTTGCGATGTTATGCATCTCGTTTTGCGGAGTGAATATATCGGGGATCACCTGGTCGATTCCCATTAGGCCTTGCTGGTTGCTCATTGAAGCTTCGGTTGCAAAGTATGCCGCCGCAATCTCGCCTGCGCTAACAGCAGGTTCTCCCGTGCCTTGGATTTCCTGCACAGCCGCTTCATTCTCATTCGCATGGTGAATCGGGTAGGATACGTTCACATTGTCGCTTGGCTCTTGGGCGGGTTCAGGCTCGTTTAGCTTGAAAGATTCGCTGCTGGAAGGCTCTCCGTTGGAAGGCTCGCTCTTGGAAGATTCACCGTTGGAAGATGCAGCTACAGAGGAGGGTTTATCGTACTGGAAGCTTGCAAACTCCTCTCCAGTAGCGACGTACTCCGCGTCAGCATCTTCGTTGATGGATTCTGTATCACTGACGAGCTCGAAGCCATCCACGCCGCTATCCTCGGTCTCGTCTTCCGACTTAATGATGGTACGCTTTGGCTGGCGCTTGACCTTACTTGCGTTGGCCTTTCCCTTACTCGCTTTGGCCTTTTTATTAGGCTTTTTGCCCTCGTCGAAGCTTTCGTCACCAGAGTCATATGAGGGTCGCTTCACTGGCTTCTTACGTGCATTGCCCTTTCCACTAGAAGTAGTGGTAGGAGCCACGGTAGCCACGGTAGCCACGGTAGCCGCGGGAGTTGCGGGAGCTGCAGAGAGCTTCGAGGGCTCACTAGTTCCACCTCGACGAAGCGGTGGTGGAACCTCTAGACCGGCGTTCACCATTCTAGTGCGTAATTTTGCCAAATGCTGCACGATTGCACCCTCAGTGATCCCATTTTTCATCATGGTCGCAACCTCATTCCATGGAACACGGACTCCAAGCCTGTTGCAGGCAGACTGAATTGCTAGGAGGAGCTTTCTATCCAAGTCATCTGATCAATGTTAGTCTGAGTCTACCCTTTTACCCTTTCCTAATCGTTGCAGATGAAAACGGTTTTATACATACCGTTCCAACGAACAATGGTCCTAGTCGGAGGTCGACTCAATGTCTTTCCGGGTTTTGAGTCTCCATCAGTAGCCGCTGCAGTGCTGCTCTTGTTCTCTTTCGCCGCCTTTGCCTTCTTGGTGCTGGCCATTTCTTTAAGCGTCTGTCTTCTAAACATGATAAATG